TAAAATGTCATAGAGTCCACAGTACAACCACAGAATTTACTCACTATCAATCCATCACTCTACGTAACCTTAACGACTCTACGGTCACATACATGCTATAAAATCCCAACCATACCTTGAACACACAACCCATAACAAACGAAAAGCAACACAGCACCAAATACCACAATCATTGACCAGCATAAGAGCTCTCCGATCTCCTCATAATACTCATACTATGTAAACAACTCCATAACATCATTTAATTCAGTTCTGACCTCATCAAAACACACAATTTATCTCATGCCTGAGATCTCAAAACCAAAGTCAATCTTTCCCATTATTCCTAATCAGAATCCCACATTCACGTTCTCTAATCACGTAATTCTAAGGCGACATCAACATTTGTCTTCAAGACATTGCTCGTATCAAACGCCTATAAAAACATTCGAGTGTGTGACTCACATCACATCACCTAATAATCCTTAAACTTACAGTTCACAACATATCTCCTAGCCATCACCGATAGTACCAGACACTAGAAATACACAATCCCTATTAGACAACTCGTGCCTCACACACCACTAATCAAGACCTCTCAGATAAAGCACAACAAAAACCAAAGACTCTACCTCCTTCCGTGGGAGTGAATCGACCAATTCCACCAAACCTTTAGCAGTGAACTCTAACAGTATAACAAACCACACCCGGGTCCGCATATCCGCGGAAGCGCACAACTCTAAGATGGAGGACAAAACCAACGATAAACAATGTCCTTGTCAAGACCAGAACAAACGGAAAGGGTACTGAACCCTACTCTCATAAGAGACTGACGACTCACACCTGAATGCACCCGACACCCTGTCACATGCTGCTCACTAACCGTCCAACCGTGAACACCCAATCTCACATGAGGAAAACTGAACTCCATACACACAAGGAGAATAACCAACTGGAAACACACACGGGATTACGATCTCGATCCCAGGAAACCTCACTACGGACGGACCATCGCACACTATCAACATAGAAACCTTGCATACGGACTATAATACCCCAACTAACCAAAAACCAATCCGGTAAGAACACCGACGCTCACGACACACTAACACTAGAAATAGTCATAGCGCCTTCGAACACCGCGTCCCGTTCTACCTAGATCAGTCACTCCCAACCGACAACCTCTACGTTATAACATAACACTTTACCATCCACTTTATCTCTGCCTACCCAAGCGACACTGCCTCAATCACCGTGCGCACAAGACCCGTGACCTCAGTCACAACAACCCACTGACTCGTCAAAAGAAGAAGGTGCCTAACCAACTACGTTGTCCTCATTGACTCTAATGACAAAACCGTCCACAATCCCCTCAATTAGCGCACAATTTCATCATCTATCTAGCAACTCGCAACAAACAACTCGTAGACTCTAATCTACCCTTGGATCACACGTTAAACCATTTCGCTCATCAGTACTAAACACCACACCATAACACCAAAACATCTCTACTGCCACTCATTCCAATAACGTTTCAAACCTATCATCCTACCGGACCATCAAACCACTACCAATGAATTCTTCCTTACACATCCTTAAAATAAGACCACCATAACGAAAGAATCAGCATTACTTTTGATACTCCCACAATAACTACTATTTACCATTAGAAAAGAACCTCCATACGGCAATGTCATGCCGACAAATCCTCAAAACAAAATGAGCTCAAAACCCAGAATATTCAACACCTAATTGTCTCCTAAAAACCATCAACGATGCAATCAATCACTAACGTTCAACCAGTTACTCAAACCACTCATTCTAAGGCAATCAACATGCCTAAACAAGAAAACTTCACGCCCTAGGTTCAACATCATTACTTCTCATCATTCCTGTTCCTCAGAACACCCTTAGCCCCGACAAAAGCCAAATGGGGCTACCAACTAGGCCTACAGAATCATCCTCGTCCCAATCATTTCAAATCAACAATCTATTACTTGAATCCTCAAACACCCAGCACAATCACCTGATACTCTAAACATACTTGAGATACACTCTGGCCCACAACTTCTAATTTCCAAAACACAACCCATTTGATACACAATACCTATCATCTACCCTCTATCCGTAAACAAACAAGCACACCGTTGACCACATACTATCTACCTTATCGTGCAATCATGCACTACATAGCTACCACTTACCACTATACACCACCTCAAGACTCTCTCAATAACCGTGCCAACCCAAAAACTCGCTCATCAATCGAGCCATACAACCGACTTACCAAGAGTCAATTACCCATACCACACTCCTACAACTATCAAAAATGAGAATCATTATTTGACAAATCAGTCTCTAAAACAGACTCTCACCACACACGAACCGAATCACATCAAACAATCGATCACACAACGCTAGCATGACTCCAATCAATGCCTACGTCATCCTAGATCTATAGAGTCCAACAAGTCCCCAAGACAATCAGAACCAACACGCCTCCTCGGACAGTACCAGAACACTCTCAATCACACATCTACAACCCATAGACTATACTTATGACTCAAGAAACCCCTATCACGCTTACCACGACCGGTTCGAAATAAACCTCCGCACCAAACTGTGAACCAAGTCACAAACAATAACCTTCTAATATCATACCTTTCTCCCACAAAACTATTATTCGCACACCTGACCTCCACGGTCACCAAAACCCATACACCAATGCATGATACTCACACACTACAAGGGCACCATGCCATGAAATAAGAACCTGCTCTAAAGTCATGCTCTAAGCACCGCACAAAATGCATCTAAGAAGATCAGGATGACCACACACCAAACAGCTCAATCTACGAGCTAAAACCGGCACCCAAACAACCCTAGAGCAACCGAGTTCCTCGCCTACTCAAGTCAAAACTTACACAACCCTCAATACCGTAATAAGTACCCCACCGTACTAGCAACCATCCCAATGCTTAACCGTATAAACACATAAGAATATAGATATATATATATACTTATACAAAATGAATGAAACCCACAATATCATACAAAACACGTTTGCACCTACCGTGCTTACTATTTACCATATTATCATTAAAATGAAACTGCACACACCGTGCTTACCACTTGCCATCACCACATTCCTTATACTTGTCATCTTATTACAATTAACATGCTTTCATATAACATGTACACTTCATTTACATTTACTGGCAATTTAAACACGTAAGCACTTAGCAAGTAAGCATGCTTTCAAAACTGTAAACATATAAGCAAGTAACAAGTAAACATGTTTCTCAAAACAATAACACTTTAACATGCAATACTTCGAAATCAATCTAAGTCCCACTTAGGTCAACCCCACCCGTCGTCCTTAGGTATTTGAACCTAACGCTCTGATAACAAATTTGAAACGACCCAAATCCATTGGATCCGGATCATTAAATGGGTCCTTACTCGACCCAAAATCATCCAAGGGTAATATGGTCCTTTCACGTTAAATTTGTATATTAAAGTCCAACAAGGACAAGATGGTCATTTATCACAATTCTAATGGTCTGAGACTTCAAAGGGCAAAATAGTCATTTACTTGTATCACATAATAAATAATATAAAGTCCGGGGCAATATAGTCTTTTCTGTGGCCACAAAATAATTATTGAATTTTATTGGGTCCTAAAATAAATACTCGTAACTTTAAATAAGTGGATAATTAGGGAAATTAAATGAGAAATGTTTGGAACTGGAACCGGTCGACGTGTGTACACTACACGTTAGCTGGTTTGGGTCACGCACAGTGACATTGCCCACTGTCAAGATACCGGTCGATGTGTGATAGCTACACGTCGACTGGTATAGGACATGCACAGTGAAAAAGCTACTGCCAAGATACCGGTCGACGTGTGAGAGGCTACACGTCGACTGGTTCAGGTCTTTCGGTCAACGTATGGGGTTTTACGTCGACTGGTTCTGGGTTATCCCACACGTTACTAAAAATACACTAAAGGATTTATTAAAATTAGAAAACCGGGAAAAGTTCCGGAACACGAAAATCATTCCGACCTCAAAAAATTTCTAGAATGATACCTCCACTTCTAAATGACTTAAAATGATTAAAAATACATCACCAGAACCCTCGGCTCGAGGAAATGACTAAAATGCCCTTCGGTGCCGCGTGACACGCAAAACGAGGTACTAAAATGAAATAAATTCAGAAAATTCAAAAAGCTCACGAAAATGGAAAAAAGAAAAAAAGAAACTTCACACTTTTCTCCTGTCAGGTATCCGATTTTGCCTCTGCCTCGGATGTACATCCGCACGGACTGGGACCAGCGAAGGAAGTTTTCACCATTTAGCCGAATTATGGTAATCTGGACCGAGTGTGTTTTAAAGTTTTGGACTTAGGACTCAAAGGTCTTGGTCTTGGTCTTGGACTCAGGTACATCTTCAGACATGGTGATTAGGATTGTTTGGAAGAGAGAAAAAAAAGAGACGGCTAAGGGTTTTTTTTTTTCCAGAAGAATCGGTAAGATGCTCTGATACCAAATAGGCGATTTCAAGATTGAAAAGAATCTGTATATTGGCATACTTTGAATGGTTTACAATGCTTTAGTTAAATAGGAAATGCAAGGGGCTAACAAAAGGAAACTACAGGCTGTAACAGCAAGCTACAGGCTGTAATTACAGGCTGTACACTAACAGAAGTTACAGGCTGTACACTAACAAAAATTCCTAATCTTAGTCATTGACTATCTATATTTACACACCTATCATATCCCCTAAAATCTGGTCTTATTAAAACCGAATATCTCTTTTTCAACAGGTTGCAACCAAAACCCTTTCCCATGACACTACTGATGAAATTTTCACACTACCCTGACCAGTTTATAGATTCAAAAGTTATTCATATCGAAGCATGTATCTTAATTGCAGTCCTCTGCCATCTTTCAATGTAAGTATAAAATTAACAATGAGAAGCAGCAACTTGAATGTGAAATAGAACCAATTACCAATGAAGTTAAGTACAATCTATCATCTGAAACAATACAACAATGGAAAATATGAAATCATGTAGCATTAAATAGGTAACGAAAAATAATAAGGGTCCTCTTATCCTCTTAGTTTAAGCTTTCAAAATTCAATTTCCCAACTAACCATTTGCATGATCTTGTGATCCACTAGCAGATGATATTGGTGGCTTTAGGTTGCAACGTTTAGATTCTTTAGAATTACAATGTGATTTCCGTCTGCAAAAGATGTTCCAGCTTCTCCTCATCTTCACCAGCTTCTTAAGCTCCTCTCTCATGCTCTCGCACTCCTTTTCAAGCTCAGACACGCGCTCTCTCATGTCTTCAACACTCGAAGTTCTGTCTTGTGCAGCGTCCACTTGGTTGGAACCATCAGTTTTAGAGAGTGCAAGGTTCGTATTGGGATTTTGCGAGTTCTCAAGATTGTCAGAGACAAAGAACCAGCCAGAAATTGATGTGCGTAGCCGAAGTTGTTCAAAGAACAAGACCTGAACAATCACACGGAGAGGTAGCCTTTCATTCTGTGCTGCGTGGGTGCTGGCCTCCAATGACAGCTTCTGGCAATTCATGAGCCTGCAGATTTGCTCCCGCTCTGAGTCTGTGAGCCAAGGATGTGCCTGAAGTTTAAAATGTGCAACAGTTTTAGCATGCTAATAATCATACACCATTAATGGTCAAAGGGCGTCAATTATACCCAGTTACCTAGCTTACCAACATATTAGTAGGGTGCGAATCCCAACATTTTTGGCATTTCCTCACTTTCTTTTGCTTCTAAATGATTTTTAATTTTAGTTCTCTGCACTTAAGCTGTGATAAGATTAAAGCGAATTTATAGACCCATAACTTACTAAATCCAACCCCAATACATACAAAGAGACACTGGTTGGATATAATATGATCCATCACAAGGTCAACACATAAACCTTATTAACGGCCAAAAAAATCAACTTTAGTGAAGAGCAGAAAGCTTGTGATGTTATAACTATATCATTTGGAAAATCACACGAAACACAGGTTTATTGTCTTTTATCTCAAAGTGAACTACTTACCGTAAAAGAACCCAAGTGAACTGACATAATTTTGTAAATGACAGAGGAAGCAAATTATTTTATGCTTTTTTCTTTTCTTCTCCAGCTTTCACTTTAGCAAGAGAAAATAGAAATGAAAAGAAGTCCATAGGTCAAGATTTCTTAAAATGCATTAGCTATCTTTGTTGTGTCTGTAAATTTTCTAATTTATTTATTCTGTTTTCCGTATCATTTTATTTTTGTACACATAAAATGACTTTAAAATAGATATAATGAAAACCTTGTGAACATTATAACTTTGAAGAATTTCTCCAGAGAGACATAAACAGAGACAAGATGGCTTCACAAAGTACAATGTTTTAATTCTAAACACATTTACTTTAATATCTTATTTAACACTCTATAAAAAGCTAATCAAATCATTTCAGTGGCACACTTTAGACAAGTAAGAACTTCAAGAAGTGGTAAATCTGCTTAGAGGGTAGTCCAATTCAAAGAGAGAAAGCAAAGAAGAAACAGAGCGGAAGAATGACAAAGTTGTCTTCTATTGTAGCTGAATTATCCATTCTCTAGAAGGGAAGTAGGTATTGTAGCCACTACATAAAACAGGAACATAAAATAAAATTTGTAAGAGTTCCCATCGAAGGGACGGGTTAATGTAAAACCTATCCTTCATGTTCTAATCTCTAACATAAGAACATTATAGCTTTAGGGAGTGATGTAACTAATGCATTTAAAACATTTCCAAATTGTGTTACCTTTAGGTATATATCGATGGCACGGTAAATGCCATCAGAAAGTGGCCTCGCATAATCAGGGAGGGCGGCAGCAAGTGACTGAAATTTTGGGAACTTCAAATTAACATCGGGCGCAACATCAGCAAGATATGCGTCCACAATATTAGCCACCATTGTCATTGATGTGAGTGAATGGGCTCCTTCCATCAGCTGCCCCTCTTCAACTATAAATGAAGGTGATGCTGCAGCTGCATCCTGTTCCATCAACGTGAAATGATCAAGAATCCTCTGAAAACAGTCTATGTCATAGAGGGTCTCCACTGAGTAGCCCATATTTGGTATAAGAAGATCTTCTAGTGAAGCGCGGTCTAACTGAGCCCCCACCCTTTTCTCCAAATTTTCTGTGCATAATGGACTTGCATGTAAGACGATAGCTGTATGGAGCAGTCTGAGCAGAAATTTAGTCTGTGTAACTCCTTTCTGATTGGGAAGTAACTCCACAATTTCTTCAAGAAGAGCCCTCTGATCTGTCTCAGAAGGGGCAGAAATAGTTGAGCCGGGTTTAGCATGGTTAACATCCTTGAAGCTTGATTGCTCATTCACCAAGGGGAGGTATCTCTTTGCATAAAACACAACGGAACGAGCAACGTTCTCAGGTTTCATCCCTCCTAACTGAACAGCTTGGATCAGCCGTTTATAGAGAGGTAAACCAAGGAAGGACACATCATCATACCACCAATCATCATTCATAGGTTGTGGCTTGGTTGTAGTAGATATTCCATTCCACAAGGCACTGTCTTCTGTGCTCCGTGTATTATTGCACCCTGATACAGGCCAATTAAATAAGTTCTGATCTGCACAAGCTTTCATGGCCAAGGAATTGATGCATCTTGAGACGATATGAAGCTCCTCTGCATATTGTAGAATTTCTTCACAGGTTTTGAGAGCCTTTATTGTGTCTGACCAATTGCCAAAGATTTCATTAAGGAAACCCTCTGTTTGGGCAATGAGATTTCCTTCACCACAATCGTCACTCATCTGGAGATACTCTGCTGCACACCTAAGACTGACTACATTCAAAGCAGTGAGCTCTATTTTAACATCATAGCAAAATTTGGCAATAAGTTCAAATGCTTTGGCTCCACCAGGTATGTCATGGAGTTGCAAGACACAAACTGATCCATTGTCACCGGAAAATTCTCGGACAAGTTTTTCTAATTTCCCACTTCTTGACAACAAAGGAAACTGCAGCATTTGCCAAAATGGGGACAAAAAAATAGATAGTATGAATATGCAAGTGAATTGAATCAATGGGTGGAAAAAATGTAGAGGCAGAACACACAAATTTGAATAATTTTTATCACATTATATTTGAAGGTTGATTTTAACCAAATAAATGCACCTTGTGAAGATGAAACGACATTTCTCCAATTTCAATCGTGACGTCGCTTGGAAGTCCAGTTGTGCAATGCCTGAAAAGAGAGCATAGGGAATTTCCATGAAACCATAGTAAATTCCTAACTAGGCAAAATTCATTGTGGAAAAACAATTTATTCAATGGACCATATCAGTTCTGAGGAGAAGTGATATACGGAGTGGTTTGTAAAGAAAATTTATACGGGCACATTAATATGTTGGGTAGTGGCTTGCGACTCCTGCTATGATCACACCCATCAATCACACATCTTTTAGAAAGTGACGAGCAATTTATGGACTGTCAAACTAAAATTGTGATGAAATTCAGTAATTAGGATTTCTGCATCTTATTTTCTGTTTTTAAGTTCATTAATTGTTTTAGTTATATTATGCTGGTTTATTTATATCTTATGATGTGCTGTGGTATCCACATCCACTCAAATTCAAATTAAGTAGTCCTCATGCAATAGAAATGACAACTTATGCAAGTGTTGTCCACATGCACTTAAATGACACTTAAATATATTAGATGATGATACATAAGGATTAGATAATAACACATGAGGATCCTAGACATACATTCATACCGGATACGCATTACATAGGCAAGTCAAAGTTGCGTATGAAAGGACCTACTAGGGAGAGCACGAGTCCCTGTTCAGTTTCTACACTCCTCAAGAAAGATGGCACTTAGTCGATGTGCATTCTAAGTTAGTATCAACAAAATCACCATCATGTATTAGATTCCTACTAAATTTTATTCCATGCATATGGCCTTCCTAGTAGAGCTACTTAATTTACTAACCACTGCTACAACACAATTTATGATGAAGTAGTTATATATGTGCAATAAACTAAATAAATCACTGGGAATAGTGTGTGCACAATTATTAGGGATGAAGCTGATGTATGCAACTTAAAACTATAATACTTCCACTTTTGCATCAATCTCTTGCAAAGAGATGTTGGAGGGAGCCCTTGATGTAAAGATTAAATTTATGAGGAAGTAGTTATGCAGGAAACTAGCCCAATGAATAGGCACATAAAAGATGCACAACTACAAAGCTTGAATTCGATTTAACAATAGTAACCACTACTTCTGAATCAATAAATGTTAGAGAAAGCCTTCGACCTGAGCTCAATTGAGTGTATCAGTCCTCAATATTACACAAACAATGTAATCTACATTATGGGAATTTCCCTTTTAACAGATTTTTTTTTTTTCTTGTGGGTAAGCTAGAATTGAGCCCCTAACATAAGATAAACCCATCCTAGCTCACATACCCACATTCTAACAAGACAAGAAATTAGAGTTACAGATTACCAAGAACATCAAGTCAAATGTATGTATGTAGCACCACAAATTTCAATTTCAATTCCAATTCCAATTCCAAACTGAAAAACATAAAATACCCATTTCATATTTCCTGATATAACAACAATCCATGTCAATTGATTTCCTTTAAACCCATATGATCGATTGATTAAGGAAAATGAAATTTCATGCAAGAATTAGAGATACATAAGCGAACAAGGTTTACCAGGTTTGGCCTTCACGTTGAAATGCTTCAGATTTAGAGCCAAGCTTCATGCAAGCCATATATATATATTCTTGTTAATATTCTGAACTTTGACAAAGATGGAGTAAATCCACAGAAGATCAAGAAAATGGAAAACGATAGAAGTGAATGTGGCTTTCTGGTAATTGTCTCCATAGAGAAAGAGGGTCCGAGTCTAAAGGGGGGAGTGAAGGAGAAGGAATCGGTTGCTCTGAATACGTGACAGGCAGAGGGTACTCTCAACATGGACCTATTTATACTCACTATTTCATCACACAGCCGCCTATTCAGTAACTTTTTCTCCAGTTGTTTGTATAGTTTTAATTAGGCCCAAAGTTTGTAGGATATATTGGCCCCATGGACAATGTATATAAATTACAACTTTAAGTTTTTTCGTTCTATGAATTTAAATTAGGAACTAAAAAGAAAAGGAGCATATTCAACACTTGAAACCTCATTTATTCAACTATTTTTCTCTCCATTTTTTTTTTCTCATATCATTTTATACACATGCTATTAAAAATACAAATTAACAGTGCATTAAAAAATTACTATAATTATTTTATTTTATTTTTATATTATTAGTTTGGCGGTCCCAAATTAATAATGATGGCTTCCCCCTTTATATAAAGGTTAGTGATATTCTTGAGCGGCGCTCCACTATATTATCAACAAAATAATTTAATAAATACCAAAGACATTCTTATCCAACTTCTCTCTTACTCTCTCATTTTTTTTTTTTTTTCTAATGGTAAAAGTAGATTTGCAATAAAATGGGTTTGGTATGTTCTCTCATGTTCCATTGCAAACCTTGCAACTTTTTTTTCCTTCTCCGGATCAGTAATTCTGAATTCTTCTTATAACCTAATATATTTTAATTCTGAATTCTTCTTCTAACCCAATATATTTTCAAAATTTAAGGAGCTATTAGAATTTGAATGCAAAATCAGCTTCATTGTTGTTCACATCGTTTGTTAATACTTTTTCGATTGTTCAGTTTGTGTTCAATAGATAGACAATTTGGTTTAATTATGATGCAAGCCTTTCTTGTTCATCAGTTTGTCCATATGTTAGCTTGGTGGACGACTTTGAGAACTCGTAGTTGAGTTGAGAAAACAAGTAGTCATGAAAGGAAGGAAACCATGAAGAGAAAAAAAGGCAAGAGCTATGAAAGGAATGAAGCGATAGGGTTTGTAAGAAGAGAGAAAAAGGAAAGAACAATTTTAAGAAAAAGAGGAGGAAAAATAGGAGGAAAAAGAGGATAGTCTAATAAAGTTTGATTGGGGCTTATTTTGTCATTTCAATCAAATAAAATAATAGATGGAGCTCCATTCGGAGAGCGAATGTCACCACCATCATATATATATATATCCTTATGTTGAAGTGTTGAACTATGGAAGTATTTTACTCTCAAAAGAAAATTCAATTTCTCTTTGCATTTTAACTTTCAAGAGAAATCTAAAATTAGTTTAGACGTTGGGTGTTTGAGCCATGCAACTTTATTGGTGTGTGCATTTACTTGAAGTTTTTCCAAAATATATATATATATATATATATATATATATATATATATATATATACTTTAAGTAAAAATAATTTTATGAAATTTTTAATAAGATTTAATATTACAGGATTTTGGGTAGAATTAGTTTAAGAGCCTTGTAAATTGATTAGAAAAACACCGTCTAATTTAGGTAGGATGTATCATCTCACCTTGTGAGAAAGATTTTAAATGAAAAGCATATTTTGAAAAAGAAGAAAAGACTTCTCCTGTTTGGTAGCCTTTTGAGTTTTTGATTTTTTGGTTGTGGTTTTCATTTTTTTTTTTTTTAAATGGCAATGTTTGGTAACTCTATTTTGATTTTTTACATTTCAAAATTTTTGAAAATTCGTTGTTAGTTCTTCAAAATTTCCACAACTTCAAAATGAAGCTTTAATTTTTTCTTTTGGTTTCTAATACTGTTATTTTATTATTTTTCAAAATGAGAATTAGAGAAATATTATTTTATTGTTTTTTAATTATACTTGAATAGTAAAAAATATATATATTTTTTAAAAAATGAGAATTAGAGAAATATTATTTTATTATTTTTCACAATTAGATAAATGTTATTTTATTATTTTTCAATTATACTCAAATAACAAATAAAATTTAAAAAATATTTTTTTATTCAAATGGTAAAATAAAAAATTGTATTTTATTATTTTTCAATTATACTCTAATAGTAAATAAAATATTATTCTATTACTTTTCAGTTATACTTGAATAATAGATAAAAGAGTCAAAAAAAATTTATAAAAAAAAATACCAAATATATTTTTTCATTTTTCTTTTAAAAAATTCAGCAGCAGATGTACGTTACCAAACTTTTTTGGTTCTGACATAAATGGCTGCACAGCTTTTTAAAACTTTCCATTTTTACATAAATTAAAAAATAAATAATAAAAAAAAAATTGAAAACCACATCTTTATCAAACATGCCCTAAGAAATGGTATTATGATTTAAGAAATGCACATTTAAAAAGGCTGATTTTGAATTTGGATTCCATAATTAAGTATAAATTTGGTGGTTTATCTATATGTTTGTCGGTGTATGATAATTGTTGAACACTCTAGAACATTTTGGAGCTATTTGGTACGCGTTTTGTTTTAACCAAAAACCAAACAAGTGTTTTGTTGTAGAGAATTTTAAAAAGTAATCGGAAGTATATTTGGTAACATTTATTTTTTGCAAGACTTTTGGAATTAAAAACATAAAACATATTTGGTGAAAACCTACGGTTGATCGTAGCATGCCATGTCTTCCGCGCGCGTGCACAGCTTCCTGGCGCATGCGCATGCTGCAAGTACGATTGATCGTACGGTGCCCTATAATCGATCGTAGTGTCCAACCCATGCACACTTTGGACATTTATTCCCTCAACCCAAGACTCGACCACAACCATCTCATGTACATTATTAATGATCCATATGTAATGACACAAATCCGTGGATCCGGATAATTAATCGGGTCCTAGCCCAAACCATATAACATATAAGGGTAATATGGTCATTTAACATCATTATGTTCTTCAATAGGTATACTACAGCTCATATGTTATCAATATATATGAATGGGGGAGTCAATTATAGGTTTTGGACCAAGGGTAAAACGTCCAAAGTGTGCCTAGTGAGAAGTTGCGATCGCTCGCACGGCAGCCTACGAGCGCTCGGAGGTTGTAATGCACGTCGTTGCGTGGGTGGGGCTGGAAGCTGTGATCAGTCACAGGTGACCTGTGAGCGCTCGTAGTTAGCCCCAGTGCACTGGTGAACAATACCAAGGCCACGTGTAATGTTTCACAATTTTTCGTTTTTTCATTTTTTGGGAATTTTTTTTATTTTTCTGGTTTAATTTATTTATTGTCTCATTTTGCGTGCCGAACAACGTGGGGTATGCCGTATGAGTCCCGAGAGTTATTTGGGGCATTTCTTCGAGTTCAGAATTCTTAGAAATGCATTGTTGACAATTTCGGCATTCTTTGAATTTTCGGGCCGAGAGGTCTCGGGTGGGACCCACACCTGGATTTTTCATACTCGGAATTATTTTTTGAGGTCAATGTATCTCATATTATATTATTTGGGGTATATTTATGTGGTTGGGTGTTTTATTACATGATTGTAATATGTATAATGAGGCAATTTAGATATTTTGAACCATGTATGACCCGCAATTAACCAAATTTATTATACATGACCACATATATATCATTTGTATCCGATTTTCTATGCATTCTTCTCCTCCAAGCCATAACCCTCACTTTCTCTCTTTAAAAACCTAAGATTTAAGCTTAGATTTCATCTCCTTTTAGTTGGTTTTGATCTTTGTCATTGAAAGCAAAGTTGTAGAGCTCAACGAGAGCTACAAAGTGATCAGAGCAGATTTTTCATTGGGTGAACTTGAGGATTTCAAAAATTGGGGCTTTTTGCATTTAAAGTGGTAGAGTTGTCTAATTGTCAAATTTCTTGGATTTGGTAGTTAATCGGATATATTTCCCCTCCTTTGGCATGTCAATTTTATGTTAGTTGAATGATGTAATTCTAGGGTTTTGGTTTATGCATAAGTTTTGTGTAATTGATGTGTTGATGTAATTATATGCTTATCTTGGGTATAAATTTCAAATGACATACTATGAAGTGGCTATGTGACGGATTATATATTTTTCTTATATGGTTGTTTTTTATGTCTTTGGTTATACACTTGCTAGATGCTACTAGAATGTTTGGAACATGCTAAAGTTGTCAAATTATCTTGTTGTGGCCATGAAATTGTTTATTGTATAATGAAGGCATGATGAGTATTGAATGATTGAAATTGAAGCATTTTTATATGCATGGCATAAGGGTGTTCATTGGCATAAAAGTTGTGTAGGTGAGAAACTTGTGTGTGTGGGTATGTGAGGGTGTGGATATAAAGCATGGACATGCAAGGGTATGGGTATGGCGTGTGGTTGTATTAGGCATTTTATGCATTGCATTGCATGTGGATGATAATGGTGATTAGTGGAATATGGAAGTGTTGCTTGTGAACCCTTTGCATGGCCTCTTTTCTCTTTCCTATTCATTGTATGCAAGACATGTGATTACTTACTTTGTTTTAGGAGAACCACCTAGGCATTCTTTACTGGCCTTGTGCTCATTCATCTACATTTTTCAAGTCACGGGAATGAAGTGGTGGACGACGTTCCCCTACAAGCGTAGATAGGATTAGAAAGAGTCTTTTTTTGCTATATTTTGTTGCATATGTATATTTTGTAAAGTTTTGGCTCAATTTGTATTATTTTGTATTCCAAAGTATCATGGATCATCCTTTAATGTGTATGGACTTAAAACAATGTATTTTGAACTCACTTAATGTGTATATGAACCATGTAGTCATTTTGGGTTGTAATCATAATGTTTTGTATGATTAAATATAAATCGGGCATGTATAGTGACCTCAGTTTCATATATGTAAAGTTAACATAAACTTGGGGACTATCCTTATGCAAATGAGACATGACCCTTGCACTCAATTTGGGTTGTCCTGGGCAATTTTTAGCATTCTGCCCATGTTGAAACAGTTCCACCCCCTTTGAACTGGTTCAAGGGTGAAACTGGTTCCTAACGTGGGCATACTACCCATGTTGAACCGGTTCAAGAATTCCTGAACCATTTCAGGCCTCCCAG